CTTATTTTCAAATATATACTACTTTGTTTTATAGCTTGTACATAGTTATTCTCATACATTTATTATAGAATGTCTAAAAAATCAGACCCTACAATCTCCGCTGAGCTTCGTGCTTGGCTCTACTCCGCTATACCGGATTCTATACCTAAGGCTATATCAGCCTACTGCGAGCAACCTTTAAGCGTCTCACAACCTCCTGCTCATGCAGATTTTGATTCAGACAATTCTTATATGTCAGATCATGAGGAAGCCCCAAGATTCCTCTTTGTCCGAATACGTTAAAGAGTCTTTTATTGTTACACAACCTACTCAGTCAAAAAATGACTCTGACAAAATAAAGACTCCAGACCAGTCTACCGACACACTTCTGGATGCATCTGGCAACCCCTTTTTTGACCCACATATTATTCGGCACCCACGCTCTGAGTGGGCGCCACCAGAACATATCAGCAATTTCTGCAAAATGTGGCTCTGCAAGCCATTAGAAAAAGAGATTAGAACCAAATTACGAGCTTAATGTCCCTGGCCCACCATACCAGGTAAAGTGGCCTTAACTCCTGAATTCAATCCTCTATTCCTAACTAAATCAGGGAAAGACCCGCGCAAAGGTATTGAACAAGGTTTAAAATCAGCACAAGATAAACTCTTGGATATTGCGGGACCATCGATTCAATTTTTTATATTGGCTGATGAAGCTTTTACGAGTGGCGAATTAGACCTGCACATGGTGTGCAAGTGGGGTCACAGGGCACTATGCCTCCTAGGTAACGCCACTGTGGCTTTCTCTACAGAGACGCAAAGCTGCGTTTTTCAAAATAGACACCAAATTGATCAATAAAGAATTAGGTCCAAATGGTCTGCTCTTTGGGGATAGTTTCATGAGATACCTAAAAAAGCACATCTCAGTGTTCACCACCCTGGATAAAGCACAATCATCCCTATGCAGTGTATTCCGCTCACATAATTGTTTTTCTGGGAGAGCTCGTCGCTTTCGAGGCCGTGCCACCAGCTACAGGCCTCGACCAAACGACAACTGGAACATAGGCTTTACCCGCCCTTATCACCAACAGGTGTTCCCAAATAGAGGGTCCTTCCTAGGATGTGGATCTGCTTCCCTGCACGGTCGCACTGCTTCAGGCAATTAACTTACATTATTCAAAGTACCCCTTTTTCTCAACTGTGGACAATGCACTCTCGGGACCCATGGATATGAAACACAGTGAGAGGTTTCAAAATAGATTTCACAACCTATCCAATCCAACCCCACTGTGGATGTCCACGACAAACTAAACTGCTTTGCATGTAGAAATTAACAAACTTGTAAAAAAAAGGGGCTGTCAAACGATCGTCCTCCCCACGCACATTCATCAACAATGTGTTTCTGGTCTGCAAAAAGACGGGAGTTTTACGTCCAGTCATCTGAGAGACCTGAACCAACACATCATGTTTCGTCACTTCAAGATTGAAGGCATCCATCTTCTACACGACCTCCTCTGCGTGGGAGATTGGTTCTCCCGATTCGATCTCAAGGTTCCTTACTCACTGTGCCGGTCGTTCAAAAACATCGTCCTTTTCTCCAACTCCATTGGGTACAAGACATTTTGCAGTTCACCTGCCTCCCCTTTGGACTTTGTTCCGCCCCTTTGGGGTTTCACCAAGTTGATGAAAATAGTTAACTCTCTACTCCGCTTGCAAGGAATTCGGTCCATCAGCTACTTGGACGACATTCTAATCTTGGCTCAAGATCATCAGACTCTGCGTCACCAAGCAGATATGACCTCCGCACTACTCCAAAATCTAGGATTTATCATATATTTTCAAAAATCCGCTCTAAAACCCTCACAAACAGTGCAATTTCTTGGATTTCACCCAAGATCAGAGCCATATAAAAGGACATGCAGAAACTATTGTCCTCTCAACACATTCACCTACGAGATCTCACACACATGATCGGTCTCCTCTCGGCTTCCATACAAGCCATCTTTCCGGGACCACTGCATTATAGAGCAATGTAAGACTTTTTACCTATATCGGTCCACCTCATCCGACAAACTCATTTCATTAACAAATGAAGTATGGCTGGAACTTTGGTGGCTCCATAACATAGATGGCTGGAACGGGAAAGCCATATTCGGCTCCCAACCAGATTCTGGAGTCAGATGCCAGTCTTCTGGGATGGGGAGCAACATGCTCTGAAATTTCAACTGGAGGCCTTTGGTCCCCTGCGGAACAAGCACTCCATATCAACTGTTTGGAGTTTTTTTTTTTACACTCTACTTTTAGGGTTTCCACTTGGCTGGTATTTTAGTATTTGAGGCTGCCTGGCAGGTGTCGATATTGCAGTCATACTGACAATACAAGTGCTGGTATCTTTCTCAGTATAAACAGAGATTATGATGCAATACCAGCACTGGTCAGTAGAGGTCGCTGTTTGTGGAGAGAGGCAAGGATAGGAAGTTCCAGAATATCCCTCCATGCCTATCTCTACTCACTGATCCACAGAGAAGCATCTACAGACAGTCCAGACAGCAACTCCCAGCCTGCAGAGACAGCCTACAGCTCAGGGAAGTAAGGGATGGTGGTGAAAAGCTGCAAGGATACATGAGGCACTGTAAAATATGGGTACACTGAGACACTAATGGACATTGGGAGACATTATGACGCAGACACTTGGGGACACAGAGACACTTAGGGATACTGGGAGACATAAGGGACACTGAGACACTACGGACACAGTGTCCCCATGTCTGCCAGTGTCCCCATGTCTCCCAGCCAGTGTCCCTAGTGTCTCAGTGTCCCTGGTGTCTCAGTGTCCCCTAGTTTCTCAGTGTCACCATGTGTCCCAGCCAGTGTCTCAGTGTCCACATGTCTCCCAGTGCCCCGTTGTCTCATTGTCCCCATGTCTCCCAGTGTCTATGTCCACATGTCCCATGTCTCCCAGTGCCCCAAGTGTCTCAATGTCCCCATGTCTCCCAACCAGTGTGCCTGGTGTCTTAGTGTAACCATGTCTTCAAATGTCCCCCAGTGTCCCCTAGTTTTCCAGTGTCCCCTCATGTCCCATCCAGTGTCCCCTAGTCTCCCAGTGTCCCTGGTGTCTCAGTGTCCCCAAGTGTCTCAGTGTCCCCATGTCTCCCAGTGTTCCCAAATCTTCCAGTGTCCCTAGTGTCTGTGTCCCCATGTCTCCCAGTTCCCCAAGTGTCTTAATGTCCACATTTCTCTCAGTATCCCCAGGTCTCCCAATGTCCCCTGTCTCAGTGTCCCCATGCTTCACAGTGTCCCCATGTCTCAGTGTTCCTAGTGTCCTAGTGACATGGACACAGACACAATGCGACACTGGGAGACATGGGAATACTGAGGGACACAGGAAGACATGGGGACACAAGAGGATACTGGGAGACACTGATACCTGTGAACACGAAATGGGGACACTGGGAGACTAGGGGACACAGTGAGACATGGGGCACTGAGACACTGTGATACATAGGGACACTGTGAGACCTGAGGTAATTGACACATGGGGACACTAAGTCATGAGGGCACTGGGAGACATGGGGGCACTGGGAGACTAGGGGTCACTGAGACACTGGACGACATGGGGACACATGGAGGAAACTGATACATAGGGACACAGACAGTGGGAGACTTGAGACACTGGGGGACAGGGAGACACAGGGAGCAATCCAGCTGTACAGCAGAATCAAACTTTAAGTAGTTCTTTGGTGATTTTACAGCATTTTGTCTTATGTCATTCCTTGTGATTTACATTATGCGATGTCACCCATACATAATTAAGCCCTCCCCCGGCAAATGAGGCCCCCGGGGGCTATGTGATCGTTCTCAAAGAGCGATCACATGGCCCCCTATAGCTGGCTGTGGATTTCCCAGCAGGGGGACTGTCTGAAATGTCAGACAGTCCCCCTGCTGGTGGGAGGTGTAAAAAAAATATTATTAGACATGTTTTAAAATAAAATAAATGTATGTATATATATTATATATATAATATATGTACATATTATATATATGTAACGTCATACAAAGTGTATTTTAATATTAATATAAGTATATATAATATTTATATATATTATATATATATAATAGATATATACACATATATTATATATATACGTATAATTACAATAATAAATAAAATAATAAAATAAATAAATAAAATATTGAAACAAAATTTAATATAAATTATATATTCATATGTAATTTCATTCTAACTGTATTTTGTTATTTATATATATATATATATATATATATGTAACAAAATACACTTAGAATGACATTCTATATATATCTATATATAAAATACAAATAACCACAAATATATATATATATAGATAAATACATATGATTACATAAAAGATTACATTAGTATACATGTAGAATTTAAATACCTATAAATGCATATATATTAAAATTCTACATGTATATTTAAGTAATCTTTTACAAACGAACGGCACTTTTATGGACTATATTATATATTATTGTTGTAGTATGTTTTACTGTTTTAAAACACTAATATTTGTGTTTAGTGAAGTCTTCCGAGAATAACAGTACCCCCATGTACAGGTTTTATGGTGTTTTGGAAAGTTAGAGCGTCAAATATAGAACGTACTGTTGTACTCGTGAGACATCGCTGATTACAAATATGTGCATTTTTTTGCAGTAAAACCTAACAGTTATATGTCATTCACAGCTAAAATGTCAGACAGAAATTTTTAAAAAAATCTTATTTTCTCACATTTTTTTTACATTTTATTCATAATAAATTATGTTCCATATATGAATAGTTAATGGTAAATTAAAGCCCTGTTTCTACTGAACAAAATGATATCTAATAAGTGTGGGTGCACTTAATGTGACAGTGGTGAATTACGGTTGAACAGACATATAGCGCAAATTCCAGTTTTTGTTTACGTTTTGTTTTGATCAGAACGTGCACTATTGACTCCGTCCTGAAGGGGTTAAGTATGGAAACTTAGGAGGGATGTATGGGAACAAAACTTGTGTGGACTGGCTGACAATGAAATTAGTTAAGGTAATGCTGACTTTGGTCTCTCTAACACTGTGGCATGTTCCCTTTCTTCTACACTCACTACATACAGCTTTTCTCTGTCCCAGACCATATACCAGGAGCTTCTGCCTGCTAGTAAGAAGGTAAGGAGACAAGTGGACCAGCGAGTGCTAGGGGACAGTCCTTAGAAAGCGTTGAGTGAGCGCATCATTAGATGCATTTATGCCAAGCTCAGGGTGCTGTCTGCATATTATGCCCTTAGTTGGCCAACTGCATGATTGGCAGGCAGCCTGACATGCATTCATACCAGGCTGGCCTTCTAATTCTTTAAGCAGACATGTCCTCTTTTTGGGCATGTTTGCCCGTTTTGGCAGGTTACATGATTTGTGTCAGTGGCAAACCCTTTTACCGTGCCAATTGACTTCCTGCTTGATTGGACGTTGCTGTTAGGGGTTATGGATTTACTTGAAAGATGAAAACATAAATTAGAGAGAGATTAGCCTAGGGTATGTGTTTTCGTATAGCTGCTGTTTTCTTTCTCTCAGCACCATCTCCATCAGATACATGATGCTTGGGAGTGTTTTGGTGTGTTTCGATAAGATTCTGTAATTAGGCCCATCATAATTGTCAGCACCAGGCCCACTGGGCTCTTAATCTGGCTCTGTTTACAAGAGCCATTGTAATGTTAGTTTTGGGGCTCGATTTAGTGCATTTCCTGTTACTAACTAGTTTTGCCTCTTTAAATCTTTATTGTTCTTGAATATTTGATGGATTTCTGTTGGCAGCATGTTATGTTTACACAAATTACTGTCCCCAAATGAACCTTCTTGTTTCAATGTAATAAAGCAGATTAAAATTATAGTAAATTCTACATTCAATGTCATATAAAAAGTTTGTAGAATGAATATATTAACCAATCTTGCAGCTGCTTTAGTACAATAAAAATATCACCATATTGGCTGTGAAATGAATTCTCTGGAGCTCAGTTTGAGTCCAGAGCCAGTAAGCCTTGTATTAGGTTCCACCTGCAAGGTGCTATGTAGGGTTTTGAGTTTTGGCAGAGGGATAGTAGGCACAGTCGTGTACATATAATACATATGCATTAAATTAAAACCAATGAAATATTATTGATAAAACTGAATATCATTCATTACTGAAAGAATATTATTTTTGCAGCAGCAAACAGTCCAGTCTTTGCATAATTCATTATACAGAAGATTAATTTATAGTTTTGTTTCCAATGTCCAATGGGAATTTGCCAACCAATCCTCTGGGAAAAAAAAGTGTTTATATATTTGATTTTGCTTATAATCACTTTCTATCATTTGATAATGGGTTCTTCTCTTCCAGACCTTTTCCTCTGTGATGTAAAGTATGGCTAATCAGTAACAGCAAACAATTAATTTACTACAGTTTGCAGTGGTTATCGTGCCTCAACCCCCTCCCCTCCCCGCTTTTTGTACTAAGTACTTAGGGTCCCCTCTTTTAGCTCTTTAAATACCGCAGCTGAACATTCTCGCTTAACCAAGGTATTTCTATCACTGCACCCAGCCTGTTGCCTTAAAAAAATTAGGGACCCCCAGGTATCTTTCGATACTTGGTCCCAGACTGACTGAAAGGCATGTAGCTCATTAAATGGATTTTGTGAAAATCAATTAGTGTTCCCCCAGCCTGGCACTGTACCCCCTACTATGATGGAGACCCCAGGGTTTAAAAAGATCCTCAGGAGGTCTTCTAGCATGCTCCTTAGCCCAGTGATTGGTGCTAAACTTTGCCAGCTACCCGGCACTGATCTCTGTAGGCTGGAGCTGCAGCATGAGAAGGAGCTCTCCCTCTCATGCTACAATCATACAGCACAGATAGCTAGGAAATCCCTTTGCTGATGCCAGTACTAAAACCAGCAGAGAAAATACCTCAGAGTTAGGATTAGGGGGTAGGATTGGGGGCTGGGATTCTGGGATCAGATTATAGGTAGAATTAGGGAGGGATTAAATTGTGGGTTGGATTGGAGTTTGGATTAGGTGTTTGGTTAGTGGTGGGATTAGAGGTTAGATTAGGGGTAGGAAAAGGGGTTTGATTATGAGTTGAACTATGTGTAGGATTATGGGTAGGACTATTGGTTGGATTAAGGGGTTGGGGGATGGATTAAGGACAAGATTAGGTGTAGGATTAGGGGAATAGCAATATAAGTGGGGTATCATATTGCGCAAAACACAGTGACAGAATACAAATATGCAGTGGGACATGCATATTTTGAATTTCCCCTAAATACAACATGTGTAGAATAAACATAAAAATTTGCTAATTGACCTTGGTCTGTGATAATATGTTTAAATTAAAAGTGTCAACATGTTATTCATTACATAGCGTGGGGGATGTGCTTTCTACAAATACATTCTTTTGTGTAGCGGTTTTGGATTCTGTGACTATAATAAAAATTGTAATATCAGCATGGCAAGTTTTGCAAAGTTTAAGTTTTAAAACCATAATTCAGCCCTTGGAGTATTTGTTTTATAACTTGTAAAAATAATTGAAATCCTAGACATATTGGACATTTTAACAATCAAGACTAATGAGTGAATCCGTTTTGGGTTAATTTACTTTAGTTGCACTTGCAGTGCAAACATTCTTAAAGGTAAATGTTGCCCCATTTTAAAATATTATATTCCTATTTAATGTTGCATTATGTAGGGTGTCAAAAGAAAGCACTATTTCTCCTTTAAAAAGTGACATATAATATGTATGGGTGCACATAAACAGAAAGGATAAAATTGTGGAAATTGTGAATTGTGGAATCTCTGGACTCTATATAGTGCTCTTCTTATCTGAGAACCTCAGAATTACAAGCAGCTTGGAAGTAACCAGTGCATACTCTTACAAATACATTAGGTATACCAACAAAGAGTGACACAAAGCAATGAAATGTGTCAGAACTTAAAAAACCATGCTTTGAAAAAAAATGATATAAAAATAAAAGCTTTTGCCATTTTATATTGCCCTTTGAGCAGAAGATCTAAATATTATCCACAAACATATTATGTGAGAAAATATGTCTTTCACTTACAATTGATAATTTAAATAGTATTGCAAGGCATTGCAAGGCAATTCAACATGACTAAATGTAACAACAGCCCGAGATATAAATGGGAGTTTGCGTATGAAAATGAAGAGCTTTGAAGAGCAATTCACTTCTATTTCTTCCAGAAAGTGTTCAAAATAACAAAAGCAGATGGGAGATAAATTTTAGCAACAGCTTCAATAGTGTTTAGATTGCTGCAGTGATCAGGTTATACAATGAATGTATTTGCTCTACTCAATTCTAATCATAGTTGTACTGAGATAAACTCGGGTATTAAAATGGACAGACTTATGTGTGAGGATAAACATATTTTCAGCAAGAACCACTTTGTCCGAAAAGAAAAAATATTTTGGGACTGCCAAATTGTGTCTGAATTACGTTTATGAAAAAAAGCTTTCTGAGTTATGAGTCAAATGAACCCAAAAGAGTTTGAAAAATGGTCCAATCAGAGTACTGCTTTCTGAGTTATGAGTCAAATGAACCCAAAAGAGTTTGAAAAATGGTCCAATCAGAGTACTGCAAAATAGATGAAATTATATAAATATTATGGATCAATTTTGCAGGCCATCGATATTCCCTCCATTTGCCTAACAAATCAATTGAGAAAAAGTAACCAATGTGGGAAAAAGAGGAGGAGCAGTAAAACAAAAATCTATATTTATATATTATACATTTATTAATGTATATACTATAAAAATACTTATTTTTTTCCTTTCACTTCTCCCATTTCACTTGATTTATGAAATAAAAAATGCACATTAATTAAACAAAGACCATTAATTATCTTTTTTTTTTCCGCCATGGGCAGAATTCCAAATCATGGATCAATAGGAATAATCTCATCTATTGTGCAAGCCTTTGTTTCGTGGTTAGTCTATATGGCAGTTTGAAAATTGGGGACTCATACAATCTCTCTAATGACCCAAATTTTACCCGAAAGATTACCGTTCGTATTGAAATTAATCTGCAAATCTAGTATATAAAAGGGCTTTTAAAATCAAGAACAGTCATTGTGAGTATCTGCGGTTGCTGACTCCCACATCTACTACAGGTAGTAGTTGATCATGGTAACATGCTAGGGATAAGTAAATCATATACATTATAAGGCTTTCTAGAATCTGGACAGTAGCCATTGTAAGGCACAACAGGCATCAAGACTTAAAAAAGGGAGATGTAAATGACCGTTTCCAGTCTGAGGCTAGCATATAATAAGTACTTACCATGAATGGGTCCTGTTATAAGGTAAAAAGGTAAGTGAAGGCAGCAACCACTTAAAAGACCAGAGGGAGGGGGCAGCAACCACTTAAAAGACCAGAGGGAGGCAGCTGCATAGAATTAAGGAGCCACATCCAGCCTACCCATTTTGAGGGGTGCAACAAATTGGGCAAAACATTGCAATACTCTTTTGCAAAATATATATACAGAAAAAGGGAACCAGCTGGTAATCTAAAAATAAAGAAATATACAAAACATAGTGTAAATCCACATTAATTAAGTTATATGCGCTATTATTGAATGCACTCACAAGATAGTAGCGTAATCAGGCATATGCAATGTGCCTCCCCTGGGGGACTATTATCCACTTCTCTGGACATTCACCACTAAGAAGCAAGACTCCAGGTGGTAGATTGAAAAATAGCAGCTTTAATCGAATACTCTAATACTCTATAATTAATACTCTTTTGCAGTCTGACAGCTACTAGAGGCATATTATCTGGCAAATATAAACATTGCCATTTCACAAAATGTCCATTTAATCCTGTTGATATCAATCAATGCTAGGAACATTTTTTTCCAGTGGCATGCAAAAGTCTAAAATGCATTTTAAATTGCACGGCTATGTCAATTAATTTCTAGGTCTTGCAATAAAGAAACCTGCAAAAACCTTATGTATAAATTGTTTAGAGGCAAAAGAAAGTCCAGGTATATGTATAGAAATTATTATTATTTTTTTCTTTTTAATGTCAATCAGCAATAATTCAGTCAATTGGAGATTGTACAATATTTTATTTCTTGCAACGTTCTTTCAATGACAACTCCAGGCCATGAAACAACTACATCTCAATTAAGTCATCATGGATTGTGAAGGTATTGGACACTGTCTTACTA